ATATATATATATATATATATATATATATATATATTCCCGTATTATTGCCTAAATTTAATTAGAATTTTTTTTTATTATTTAAATATTTAAATTAAATAGCTTTTTGTATTCCTAAGTGGCCTTTGATAGAGGCATCTGCTAAATTAATAAATGTAAACAAACAACAAAGAGTAAAATAAACCTAAACCATTTCATTATTTATTGTGTGAAAATAATGTATTTGTCAGTACTGGTGTCATTTCCATCACAACAAGTGATGCATTTAGTGGCAACACTGCCGAAAGTCATTTGCTTTGATTTTTGTTGAATTATATAAATCTATATTTTTTTCTTCACATAAGCCGAAACCGTGAATGACAGTGGTGGTCACTAGTGTACTTTAAGAACAATTGATTTGTGCAGCTAGAAAATTACATAATAAAAAAATATGAACTCCAGCAGCTTTTGGATACAGAGAACATAAAATCCCAAACCATCTGTTTGCTTCCTAACGGATTTAACCCCGTGTTTGGGCATGCGTGGATGACACGACATCTGTCACTCACTGAGGGGCACGTGGGCCGTCTGAATAGAGACAGATGTCGGTTTTTCAACCCCTCATGACTGAGCTCAACAATACTGGGGCGTCTGAATGCCGTGACCCCTCTGACTATAATGACAGCGCGACCCCGCGGTCACAGCCTTTGTTCAACAGAACGAGTGCATGTCTCTGTTATAATACATTAGTTGCTGTATTGTCCTCTGGCTCTTTCCACAGTAGCCCTGGCTCCTCTGAACATTAGAAATTATTTAAAAAGATAATTATTAAAAATATTTTATGTAATAGGCCATTATTAAAAAGTTAAATGTGAGCACAACAGAAATGCAACATGATTACATAACAAGCATGTTTCATGGACACAAGAGGGCAGACAAATAAAGGTCGCTGAATTTGTAAATTCAAAGCTAGTTTGCCTTTGATAAAATATTAAGGGTGACATTCAGTCAATGTGTATGACTCCCTTACATACTATGGTGTGATTATATTACTATGATAATTTTATAAATAATATGAATAAATCTATAATACTATCAGTCAAAAGTTTGGAATAATTAAGTTTTTTATTGTTTTTGAAAGAACTCACTTATGCTCACCAAGGCTGCATTTATTTAATCTAAAATACAGTAAAAAAAATATTTATACAGTAAGAAATATTATTATAATTTAAAATAACTGTTTTCTATTTGAATCTATTGTAAAATGTAATTTATTCCGGTGATCAGAGCTGAATGCCATACCATTCAAAAGTTTGGGTTAAGAATGTGTTTTTTATTTTATTTTCATTTTTATGATTTGCTACTTTTATTTAGAAGTGATGCATTAAATTGATCGAAAGTTACAGTGAAGACATTTATAATGTTACAAAAAGAAAATAAATTAAACAGTTTTAAAATACATTAAAACAGAAAAAAGTTATTTTATATTGTAATAATTTTTCACAATTGTACTGTTTTATTGTATTTTTGTACAAATAAATGCAACCTTGCTTCCTTAGCATTAAGAAAGAAAGAAAGAATGAAAAAGAAAAGAAAGAAAGAAAGAAAGAAAGTAAATATTTTACTGTTTTTATTTTTGGGGTCACTGCATAAATACTTTACTGAACATTACTTAAATGTGTGTGTGTGTGTGTGTGTGTGTGTGTGTGCGTGTGTGCGTGCGTGCATGTGTGTGTGTGTGTGCGTCCGTGTGTGCGTACGTGCGTGCATGTGTGTGTGTGTGTGTGTGTGTGTGTGTGCGTGTGTGCGTGCGTGCATGTGTGTGTGTGTGTACCTGTTTTTCTATTCTGGTGGGGACTTAAACCTGAATACACACAGACTC